AAGAGCTGAGTTCAGAGAGGCAGGTAGAAGGCATATCAGTGGGTCTGAGGGCCAAAGTAAGGAGTTTAGATTTTTATTTTAAAATGGGAATCCTTTGGTGGGATTTCAGCAGGAGTGGGTCAACATCTGATTACCACTTTAAACAGTCACTTGGGTTGTGGTAGACGATGGAAAATGAAGGTGGAGGAGAGGCTGGAGGAAGGACATAGTAGGAACCAGCTGCTTGAATGAGTGTGGTACACATTAAAGCAAAATGGAGTTTCTCTGGAGGAAGAGGCAGCAGAAGGTATGGCTATGAGGTATGGAAAGGAAATAATAAAAGATGATGTTTAGAGGGCTCGGGTGTGGCTCACTGGTAAAGCACTTGCCTAAAAAAAAAAAAGATATCCTGCATGTAGATTTGACAACCAGTTAGATCTTTACTAGATTTTAAAGGTAGAGCCGGACATGCTGCTGTTCCTGAGCCTCTTGATGCAATGATCATTTGTCTTCTCAACTTGTATTTTTCCTCCAAGGAATCCCAACTGTATGGATTCAAGAGTCCCTCAAACCAAAGTGCCTGAACTCCCTTCTCCTTCCTTGTACCTCCATTTCCACTCAATTATCGGTGTGAACACTCTTCCTCCAGTTTCTACCAGGTGTGCAGATCTCTCTCACTCTTCACTGTTTCTATCACTCCCCCAGAAATGGTTCTTACGGTTATCTAACTGGCCTTCACTTCTATCACAGCATCCACCCTATTAATCTATTATTCACATAATCATGAACAACTCTGGCCATGAGGCTCTCTGATAAAACCTGAGCTTAGGAGGCACAAGCCAGAAATCTCAGCTACTTGGGAGGCTGAGGCTCAAATATGAATCTTGTCTCAAAATCTTAAAAAGAATTGGAGATTCAGCTCAGTGTAAAGTTGGTCTAGAACCAGGCCGTGGGCTCAATGCCCAGTAGTGAAGCAAAACCACCAAATAGACAACCCCCCGCAAAACCAAAAAAACAAGACAAAACAGAACAAAAGTATTGGATTTTGTCTGCTCTTAGGGATAAGTCCAGATCCTTTCCATGGCTTTCAGGGTGTGATGCAGTCCCTTGGGGTCCCATCTCCTGCAAATTTCCTTCTCGTTCTCTATTCTCCATGGTCTCCATCACTCTGATCCCCTACATGTTCCTCAGGAATGCCAAACTCCTTCTGGCTCTAGGAACTCCGCACAACCCGGCCCTGCCTGGGAGCACCCGTACCCCTCTTGGTTCTGCCATCTCCTACTTATCCCCAGTGGACACATCTTCTTGGAACCTCCTACTGTTAAATTCCTTCTGAGTTCCTCTACTCAGCAGTAAGACACATGATCTGAGCCCATTCAATGCCTGCTGCCCCTGGGCTTGTCTTTGAGGCCCAGAATCCTGTCACATTTGCCCAGCACTTGGCATGAACACTGCCTTACAGGGCAGATGCAGCACTGCCATTAATAAGATGGAGCAACAGCTCCTTGTCTAGCAGTTTATCTGTTGGATGTGATCTCCTTATTAGATATGCAAGTACTTCAAAAAAGCAAACATCCTCATTACATTGAGAGGCTTAAAAAGCTATAAGCTCACCAGCTTTGTTCTGGACTCAAGACACAAGATGAAAAAGTAATTCGTACCCTTTTTATTCTCTACCTTCACAGGGAATCTAGCTTAACTCAGCACCCATAGGATAATAATGGACTTTCTGGTCAAATGTTTAAAGGTAAATAACAAAAGCTTAAATGTTATAACAACTGCTAATGAACTAATACTCAAGAAAAATCACAGCAATAATTGATAGTATTCCAACAAAACAGAGCTGTGTGGACATCCACAAAGTCCCTCCTAATCCCAAGACCCTATGACAGTAGCAGGACTGAGAGGCTATGACCCTACCTGCTCACCTACCTGTTCATGTTGGGTGGCATCATTTCTTCTGTGGGCAACAATGTCTTGAACTCCTTGACACCTGACCTGCATGGCTAGCATCTGTCACCTTGCCCTCCCTCTGCCCTTTTCCCAATCAATCTTATTTATTTTCTTTTAGATTTTCTTTTTTTAAAATTCCTTTATCCTTTTCACCCATTCCAAAGATCTTGATATATTTCCCTAACTAGTTTCAACAAGCTACACATACTATTTCAGTATTTAGACAATTTGAAAGGGTCATGTTTCCTATGAAGGTTTCTGATGTGTTATTTTAGAAAAAAAATGATTTTCAGACTCAGTCACAGGATAATAAAGAAACACTAGTAAGCCCGAGAAACAACTGAGATCTAGCACTTGAAATCCCTGATCTACCTGTGCTTGGGCACCGATACCCACTGCAAAGTTCTTCCAGGTCAACTACATAGGCTCCCCGTCTGCAGGTCCACCGCTGCACACTTGTGGCTGCAGCCTTCAGGGCTGACGGTGGCTGCTACATGTCTTCCCTACTATGAGAAGCCAGGCAATGTGTGTTCTCACAGGTGAATCATGGCCAGTCACGGCAGACCTGTTTCTCTGACATATTTTCACTTTCTTGGCCTCCCCTGCAACTAAAGAAACACAAAGTAAACTCTGAAACGGGTTTTTTTCTCCCCTAATTCATGCTCTAACCACTTGCTTAAGTAACTACGTGAAGACCTGATGTCTGGAGCTGCTGCAGCCACATTATAACCCTAAGTGGGAGCTCAAGCATTATAGAGATGTGACCCAAAGTTGCTCAATAAAGTCTGGGAACAGCTACTTCAGGCATCTCTGTTCAATGCTTTTCTGCTGAAGCCAGTAGTGAAGACTTGTATGCTCTGACCAGGTCTCGGGGTCTTGGTCTTTGGAAGGACTGCCCCACTATGGGTTGGACAAGTCTTAGAGAGAGGAAACAACTCATCCAGAGCACACTTTCAACATACAAACCAATCAATTCAGAGCCTACACTCTGACCACTTCCTTTACCAGTTCTCTTGCTCCAGGCCAATACCCATTTGCCCTGAGTGCCTCACTGGGGCCAGGTTACTAGACAACTAGGGACAGTCCTTATACCATAAAGTCTGCTGAAGTTGCTCAAACTATGTATGCTCACCCTGCCTCACTTGTTCCTTCCTGCAGAAACTATAGAAGTCTCTTGCTTACATCCATGCCCTTCTGCTACTTGACCCACCATGGTGCTTCCCTGTATCACCCTTTGTGGCCTGGCCTGTCCCCTCCTCTTGGGAATTGTGAGGAACACTGTCTTTTCAACAGAGGTCTCTTCTGATCTGTTGCTCTTGCCATACCTTAAATTTGCCAGCAAGTCACTACACTTTAGAACACTCATTTCTTCCTGGTAGAATTTGCAAGGTCCTCAATCCAGTGAAAACTCTACAAAACTATAACTCTGTCTTACCCCAGAAAAAAACAATGCTAGTACTAACTGGCTTATAAACACTAAAGACCGGTTTCAAGCCTCTGGTGGTAACAGTGAGATGGGACTCTTGATATCAAAATGTACCATACCTGAGATCAGTTATTTTAAAAAGAGTGTTTCTTTAAGTAAAAGAAAGGATGTGGGTCAAAGGCAGGCATGGCCCCAGGCCCCTCTCAGGAATAGCTCCCAGAGTTCCACCTTTGATAGGCATTAGAAGGATTTTTAGGTCCAAAGTAATTTTATAAACTCTTGCTTTAGATGACTCAGGTTCCCTTTGCTGAAATTCCTGACACACAGAGAATTCTTTCTATAGCTATTTTCCAGATCTGTGGCTTTTATATGCACCACATACAAGTGATTTCTGTTTGGAATATAGGTTAAACATCCTAATCTTAAAATAGAAAACCCAAGCACTCCAAACTGAAACATTTTAAGTATCAATATGATGCCACAGTGGAAAATTCCACACCTGACCACATGTGATGGGACACAGCCAAAACACAGGTGCACTAAGTATACAGCATAAAATTAACTTCAGGTTCCACGTACTAGGTGTATATGAAATACAAATGGGTTTCACGTTTAGACTTGGGTCCATCCCCAAGATCAGTCTTATGTATATGTAAGTAGTATTAAAAAATGTGAAATCCGAAGCACTGCTGGTTCTAAACATAATTGATAAGGACACTCAATTTGTATTATTAAGAAAGAAGAAACCAGGTCTAGGAAAAGAAGAAAATGACTGACAGTAAGCAGAGCAGGTGTTTCCACTTCAGAAGGCAGCAGGAGGAAGCACTGGGCATGTGACCTGATATCCAGCAGAGACAAGGCTAAATCAGGCCCGGGGATCAGTGAGACCATGTGAAGAGGAAGGCGACACTAACTCTAGGTCAGAAAAATCTGACAATGAGCATGTAAGTTGTAAACTTAAGGAAGGAGTAAAAGTCTCCCTAGACTGCAAATCTCTGGTACTGATGCCAAGTAATGTCTCAGAATATCTTACTCTCCAGTACACTCGAGGGAGGCAGGGGTTAAGGGGGAAGTAAGACTATCAACACTGCTTACACCAAGAAGTGTGAAATGGAACCACATTATTACTGATGTAGGTAGGTTATAAGCAAAGATATCAGAGCAGCTTTCTTTAGCAGGCCCTCTTTACCTTTTCATTGTAATGAAAACAATTTTCACGGGCTTTTATGGGTCACTTATAACCCTGTAAACCAAGGCATCATTTTTTCCATGAGATCTCAAAATGCTTTTGGGACCAATGGAATCTATGATTGAGCTGGATCAGGGGTGAGATGTCCATCAAGGATAAAGATCCCCTCGAGGTGGGATTTTAGGTATGTCTCTGCCACTGTCCTGTGAACCTCACTCTGGGGAACTCAAGGATGAGGACCTCACCTTGCCTAGGAAGGGTAATGTTTCAGGCAGGACAAGAACAGTGGAAGGGTTGCCACTCTGCAGAAACGAGCAGCTATGCTTGCTTGGTTAATGCATACACACATTATTTGGCTACATACATAGCCACAGTAAACAAGGCCTACGGAGTGGGATCCTTGCCATCAGGAGGCAAATGTGAGCTTCCCAGGGCTCTGTGAAGGGCACTTACAGAGCGCTTGTCAGCCTCTGCCCCTTGCTGGCCCTGTAGACACGCAGTGAGCTTCTTATGGGTGCTGTGAGACACTTGCTTTACCAGCTCCAGGCGCTTCTCCACCTGCAGACAGAATGACACGGGGTGACGTGGGGGAAAGGCAAGGTCAAGAGAGGAGAGGTTATCAGTTTGAACAATCATGACCCCTATCTCCAGAGACAAGGACTTTGGGGAAATCCAATTCTGGAGAGCTAGAAGGGGACTGACTACAGACACTACACCCTCCTGCTAAGCTTATAATGACTTGAATGCTCTCCTCAAGAAACTTAGCTAAAGCTTCTAGTCACCCTCAATGCATCTGTAGGGGTTTGGTTCCAAAACCCCCTCAGACACCAAAGTCCACAGATGCTCAAATTCCTTATATAAAAAGGCAAAGTAAATGTATCTAACTTATGCACATCTTCCTGTATAAATCACATCTAGACTATTTATTATATTTAATACAACATAAACATCATAAAAATGCTTGCTCTACTGTATTGTTTAAAAATTAATGACAATAATAAAAGTCTGTGTATGTTTAGTATTGATAACAATCATCTTCTCAATAGTTTTGATCCACTGTAGGTTGAATCCACAGATGTGGACACGCATATACAGGAGAGCCAACTGTATCCAAAATGTAAAGCATCGTCATGAAAACACAAAACGTTACAGCTCGGAACAGTCCATACATGGAGTGGCAGGAGCAGCTGATACAGCATGGAGAAGGCTTTATTTTAGAAGGGAAAGTACACCTGGCGACATGATCCCACCGTCGGTGACAGCCTTACCTGAAGAAGGTCTTCACTCAGAACTTCAGTCTTTTCTGCCCTAAAGTGAAAATTGAGAAACGTATCAATAAGAAAAATAAAAATAAAATATATTAAAAACAGTCTCATAATTATCCCTCACTCTCATTTCTTAGCAAACATTAGAAAAACAGAGAAATTAATAGCAGAAGCTCCTAACAAGAGAATACAGAGACAATTCTGGAACTGATAGGGAACCTTAACTAAGCAACACAGCTGTGAACATGACAAATGAGACACTCTTCATTTCCTGCTATAGATCAGGAGCTGGATGAAGCACAACAAGCACACACTTCTGTAGTTACCAGACATGTGTTCTTTTAAAGTCACAGAATTAAGTAGGTTTCTACATCCACGTTCCTTGGCCTCCTCCAAGCACGCAAGCAAAAGCAGCAGAAATCCGAGAAGGAATCAATAAAAGACAATACGTAGGGACAGTAACTGAGTCCAGGCAAGTAACACCAAGGTCTGGCAACCAAGTATTAGGACACTATTCTCAGGTGACATGACTGTTTACGCAGAAAATGCTAAGAAATGTACAAAAAAAAATTACTACAACTAATATAAGTTCAGTAAGATTATATGACGAGATAAACCACAAAAATTAAGTATTGCTACATGCTTCCAATGAACATTGAAATTGTTAGAAATATCAGAGGCAACAGCTTAAAGAGTACAATTCTTAGGTGTCAGTACAGCAAAGCATACAAAGGAGGGAGGAAGGGGGAGTGAGAGGAGGGAGAGGGGAAGTAAAAAGAATGAAGACATGTTATGTACACGTACCAACACCCTACAAGAAACGTAATCTATTGAAAATACGTACTAAAATTTTTTTAAAAATAAAAATCTTAACAGACATCACACATACACACACACACACACACACACACAAAAAAAAAACAAAACATAAAAAGAACTTGCAGGCTGAAAACTACAACGTGTTTGTAAAGGAAACCACTGAAGAGCTAGGTGAATGGAGAGACACACTGTGTCTGTGGACCAGAAAATGCAATGTATCAAGAGTGATCAAAATATATGGTGAATGTTTACATTTTAAAATGAATTACAGCAAAAGATACACTGTTCTCAATCACCCTCAAAACCCTCACACTAGCATAAAACATACTTATTCTGTAGTTCTTGCAAATTTCTGAGGCAGTTCTGCAAGTTCTACTTCATGAATGTCTATACAGGAATAATAAATACAGTGAATGCCGCTGCCCCTTGCCTTCCAAAGAAAAGGCAGATGTGCGAAAACACTACAGTGTGTCCTCATTCATCTCATTCCCAGAATCTGGCACTATGCAATCTCTGGCTCTTCCCCAAAGTCAAACCCAAAATCCAAATGACCACTAAAGGTAAACACTTTCAATTGATTCCGGACATCAAGGCAGCCGTGACAATGCAACTACAGACACTCACAAAGGAGGACTTTCCAGAGCTGCTTCAGAAAAGTGACAAGAATGCTGGGATAAGTGTGTTTGAAGCATGGAGAGTGTTTTGAGGGGTATTAATGGCAGTGTGTTGTTCAGTGTGACGCATTTAAAAAACTTTAAACATACATTGCAGTTTTCAATCACTCCCTCACAGTAGAGATGCCAATTTTCCCTAAACTGACCATAAATTAAATGTCATCCCAGACAAGGTTTCAACAGGATTTGTTACACATACAGACTCTGACACTGATATTAAAGTATAAAGTAAAATAATAATAAACCATTTCTAGAAAGAAAACTAAAGTTGTAGGAATTACAAGATCCAATTTTAAGATTTACAATAAAATTAAATAAAAGAGTATAGTATTGGCAGAAGGCAGAAACCTAGATCAGTGGCACAGAATAGAATACAGAAATACATGAGACAAATACGACCAACTAATCTGACACAAGCACAAAGACAATTCAATGGAACAGAAGAGTCTTTGCAACAAATAGGGCTACAATACACTGATATGCAAAAATAGGAACCCTGGCCTATTCTCCACATCATATATTGCAGTTAATTCATGAAGAAGTCATAGACTTCAATGGAAGACAAAGTTTGATTTTTTTTTGATGTGTGTGTGGGGGTCCAGTATTAACGACTGAACCCAGGGGTGCTCTATCATTAAGCCACATGCCCAGATTTTTTTTTATTTTGAGACAAGGTCTGTTAGGTTGCCTGGGATAGCCCTAAACTTGTGATCCTCCTGTCTCAGCTGTAGTGTAGCTGGACTGAAGGTATGTGCCACCATGCCTGGCTAAGTTGTAAAATTTTTCCAGAAAACTTAAGAGGAAATATCTGTGATACTGATTGAAACCATGGGTTCATAGATACTGGTACAACAGCAAAAGCATGATTCACAAAAGAGAAGAAATTAATATATTAGACTTCTTCAAAATCAAAATCTCTTGCTCTGTTAAACACTGTTAAAAGATGAAAATATGGGCAGGGGATTTAGCTCAGTAGTGCCACCCCTTGCTTCACAAGCACAAGGACCTGAGTTCAATCCCTGGTGTGTGTGTGTGTGTGTGTATATATATATATATATATATGAAAATATAACACCCAGAAAGAGAAAAAAAATATATGCATCATATATATGAAATACAGTTGTATCTAAGTTATTTACAGAATTCTCAAATTCAGTACAAAAAAAATTCTCTTCAAATTAGGCAAAAAAACCTGGGCAGAAATTTAACGAAGGAAAATATGTTGATGCCAAAAAAGCACAAGGTAAGATGCTCACCATTGTTATCCATTATAAAGTGTGAAATGATACCAAAAATAAAATGCAAGTACTAGAATGGCAACACACACACACACACACACACACACACATACACACACACACACACACCGCACAGATCTCAAATTCTGGAGAAGATGGAATCCCTGGAACTCTCACAAACTGTTGGAGTAGAACACTACTTTTTCTGTAATTGCTAAGACAAAATACTCGATGCCCAAGTTAAGGAGGAAAGGTTTATCTGGCTTACAATTTGTATTCAGTCCATTGTTGGCTGGCTCCAAGGCAGAGAGACATGGCAGAAGAAAGCCAGGGACTTTATAGGTGTCTTTCTGCCCCTTTTATCTTATTCCGGCTACTTAGGGTGAGTAGCATTCACACCCTTAATCCTACTGCCCCCCCCAGCCTAGCAGTGTACCATGAACTGATAACAGCATCACACTCTAGATTTAGCTTCCTCTGAAAAAGCCCCACCTAAGACCACTGCATGAGGCTTTTGGAGACATCCAGACACAAGCCATAACACAAAGCTCCTGTGGGAAGAGTATGAGCATTTCTTCCAAACTTGAATTTACGTGTGCCACACGACCTAGCAATGCTACTTGACAGAAATGAAATTTTATGTTTAACCTCCCCACACACACCCTGATTGAGAATGTTGATAGAGTTTTATCTGTAATACTGAAAATCTGGAAACAAACCAAATCTCCTCCTACAGGTGGCAAGGTAAACAGACCATGGAACATGTATACAATGGAGTAGTGTCCAGCAACACACAGGAATGGAATATGGACACATGCTATGACATGAATCAGTGTCAAAACCATTGTGCTCAATGTAAAAAATTCCATCTGGAAAGGTTAGACACATAATGATCCCATTCATATTCCATTAAGAAAAAACTAAACTGTAGGAAAGGAAAGCAGAGCAGTGCGTGACATGGGTTGGGGGTAGTTTACCACTATAAGGTTGACATGAGGGAATTTTTTGAGTTCATAGAACTGCTCGGCATTTTGTTTGTGATGGTGGTTACATAAATCTATGCATGTGTTAAGACTCACAGAAAGCCACCCAAACAGTTAATTTTACTTTATATAAATTAAGTAAAAAAAAAAAAGAAACCTTTTTAAGAGCTGAAAACAACATCATGTAAGTCCAAAAGGGAAAATCACTGAAATATTCCAAGCTCTTAGCAGTGTTCTTTAAAGAAGCTAAAATAATGGCTTAGATTTTATAAGCTAAGACATTATAACCACTTCAAGAATATCACTAAAGAGGCAGAAACAGAGTATACATCTTCCAGAGCAAAAAGACAAAATAATAAAGTCTTAATGGTGGGAACCAAATGGGGAAAAGTGGTGGTGGGTGAAGCAATAGAAAATACTTTAAAAAGCATAAAATAAAATAGTAGACACAAGTTCAAATATATTGAAAAATATTAGTGCACTAAATAGTCCAGTGAAAACTAAAGATGTTCACTCTAGATATAAGAAACATAGCTTGATGCTAATCATAAAAGCTGTATGTTAGACATAAATAATCTAAGTTTAAAGAGAAAAGGAAATAAATACTGAAAATAGACTTTGAGGGATGTTTTGTGGTGCTAGGTATAGAACCCACAGCCTCATATATGCTAAGCAAATGGTCTACCACTGAGCTACACCCTCAACCCCCAAGCTATTTTTAATTAATGTAATAGACTTTGAATGGAGAGAGTTGCAATGTAATGTTAAAAAAGTTTAACTCCTCAACAAATTATGAGAATTCTGAACTCAAGGATACCTAATAAGAATCACAGAATATATACATTTTAAAAAGCCCTAAAAATTATAGCAGAAGACATAACAATTTTCTTTTTCAGTTAACAAGAGGTAGTAAAGCTATAGGGGATATGAAAACTTTAACATATCAGAATTTCTCTGACAAGCATATAAAGAATTCTGAATCTAATCACAGAGAAGGTGAAATCTTCTCACGCACACGAAAATTCATTTGCAAAAAGCAATCCTTCTACCAGCTATCTTAGTTACTTGTCTTATTGATAAGACAAAATGTCCAATACCCACCCACAGGTTAAAGGAGGAAAGGTTTATTCTGGTTCACGGTTTTTAGAGGTTCCAGTCCACTGTCCATCCAAGGGCAGAGGAGCATCACAGAGGGAAAAACTTTCCACGGCACGGCAGGCAGAAAGGTAGAAAACAGCCAAAGCAGTGGGCAGCGGGCTATGTTCCACACAGGCTTATCGCAACATGGCCAGGATGGGGCTTCCATCATCCGCAGCCTTAATCAATATT